GCAGGAATACATTAAGTCCTGTCTCTTTTTCCTGCATTAGTTTGAGGATGTTCTGTACACACAGACAGTTTGCAGATCGGTAGGGATTTGGAGCATCAATAGGAACCATGAAACTGTTTCCATAGTTTTCGTAGCCATGGCCAGCATAGTATAACAAACCTGAGAGTTCAAAATACATGTGACTGAAAACACAGTTCAAGAGTACATTGGAACATTTCCATAAACTTTAGTGCATGCAGTTTTTGACCATACAATGTCCACACTATGTGTCTGTGGGAGATTAACATCATTCAAGCTACTCCAAGCAGTTTTTTTTAATATCAGTATGCCTTTGTTAATACAGGGAGGAAGAGGAGGCAGTGGGGGGAACCACAGTAACATCAACGTCACAATACACAGACACAAGAAGTTTAAAAAAAAAAAAAAACAACCACTCATGCAATAGAATCAATTACATATTTGCATCAAATACACAAAGTTAAATACTCTTAAAAGGCTTTAAGTAGAGTTATGACCTCTAACAGAAATAATCTGTTATGTATAACTCACAGATACGAACAAGGAAATGTGCCAACTCCAAAACATCTTCTCCACATGTGCAATTAACAATGCTCTGAGTAGCAGTGAGTCCGTGCAGATTTTATAGATAGAAAAAAAAATAACACTGAACAGTTTGGATGGAGTTTTTTCTTTCTTTTTTTTTTTTTAAAACAAGAGATGCTGTCATCTTTAAAATTATTCTCCTTTAACTTTATTTTTTTTTTTTACTTACCATTAATCATTGGCAATTCTTAAAAGTACTTTAACTAGAAAAAAATCAGAAAAACCTTGCTTGCATATAAGAGCATTTTGCAAGTTTTTAGTTTTGCTATTTCGTCTGTACAGTCAGTTTCTCCATGTGTTTTTCTTTTTTTATAGGGAGGGATAACAAATATTTTTACGCTTTGGGGGGGGGGAACTATTCCGTGACCATGCTTAGTAGGACTCCAGAGCACATTCCCATTACCAAACTACCCATAACTCATTTTTAGTTGATTGCATCTACATCTCTTTACAGTTACAGACTCATGACTCTTGTGGGTCTACTAAACAAATAAATTCTTTGCATGCTTACCTAGACACAAAAGATTATCCTACAATCATCTCCCTCTTGTCAATATATAACAGTCTACAATATTCTAAGATTTAAAATCTTCAATAAAACATGCAATAGTTTTATATAAAGAAAACATATCATGGAATTAAAAAAAGCTTTTCTTAACCCTGAAAAAGAAAACTGGGCTTAGATTTTACTTACAGGAATAAAAATGTCAAATATTAAAGTCATATCAATTTGCAGTAAGATTGGATGATCTTAGCATTAATAACCTCCACTGCCATAAAATGCAGTTACCAGAAGCTTGTCTGATTAAATGGAATTTTCCAATTGCCTGTTGCCAGTGCTGGTTTTGCTTATCTATGGCAAGTTCCACCTTCTAAAAAGAATTTTTGTTGACCTATACAAAGCAGTCTATGGGGCAGATCTTCAACTGTGCTGCAGCTGAATAGAAGTCAACACAGATAGGACAATTTATGCTAACTGGAGATATGGTCTTCTTATGTCATCATTCTTACTAAAAACAGCTGTGAAATTTATGTCACTACACAACCTGAATATTCAGAAAAAACAAAATAAGCCTTACCTTAACATACTAAAAAGATCTAAATTTAAATCAGCTTGTGTAGGTAGGTATGCTAAGATGTTTTTACCTTTTCATTACTGATAGCTACAACAAATTAAAATACTTCTCTCGCACAGCCCTGCACTTTTTATAAAGGAATACCAAGATACAGCTATAGCCCTTCAAACTAAGCCTTCGGTTCTCTGTTACTTGTAAGCTCTCAAGTCATTAACAACTATGCCAAGACCTTGCAAACTGCTCCATTCAATCAACAGTGCTCAATTTCTTTTTATGGGAAACATGCATAGTCAAGATAAGCAGTCAGCAAGTGCATACAAGGTAAACTCCAGGATGCAAGGCTTTACTTAAACAAAGACTCTAATGGTTATTCATCTGCCAGAGTCTTGGAAAACAGCAACAGCTTTATTCAATTGAAAGCTAGATTTCTAAAGGCCACAGAATTTAAAATGTATGCTTAAAACCCTAAACAAATAAAGGTACTATGAGGCTATTTGTAAGATTCCAATGGTTACCTGAGACGGGGTAGTTTCAAGAGAGTTAAAAAGGAAGTTAAGCACCAAGTGTATGACTCCATGTCAGGTCCTAAGTTAAAAGGAAACTCTCAAATTTGATTTCCACAAAGTTTAGATCTGGGCCTAAATCAAGATTATATTTGAGATTATATATATAT